GCATGCCTTCACTCACCTGCCTACCCACTCCCTCCCACAGAGGAGGAGGAAGAAGAAAGAAGCCGAGCCCAGAGCTGGCATGGCTGCCTTCTCCACAATCATGTCTCTGTATCACAGCGCCTGTCACCTCTGATGATACATGAATAACTAATCAACCAAACACAAGCCCACTGATGAAAAAAACAGGGCGTGTTGGATCTGGAATGTGAACAGGGTAAAGAGTAATATTAATCCCACTGGTAAATAACAAAATGGGAGCAAACAGCAGGGATGTGAAGACCAGAAATGTGCCGAGGAGCACTCCCGGAAGAGAAAACCTCCCATGAACAAGGTGGAGGGGGCCCACAGAAGGAGGTCGCCATACTCACATCACAAAGATAATATCTTTTTTTTTTTTTTTTTTTTGTGGCCCTTCTGTGTGACCATAAGGAATATCACTCAGGATCAGCTCTCCTGGCCACTGCAACTCCATTCTACCTGTCTCCCTCATTTTTACATAAGTCCCTCCACTATTCCCTAGCTGTCATAAAGGTTAGTCTGGTCACTAACTAGTACTGAAGTGGGAGCCAACAGAATTGTTAGCCGTTTGAACTTTCATAACGGGTAGCAATATTCTGAGTGTGTAATAGGTATCTAATAAATGCACACTTCCAAGCCAGGCATGGCAGCACACACCTTTAATCCCAGCACTCAGGAAGCAGAGGCAGGTAGATCTCTGAGTTCAAGGCCAGACTGGTCTACACAGCAAGTTCCAGGACAGCCAGGGCTACACAGAGAAACCCTGTCTTGAAAAAGCAATAAAGGCACATTTCCCCAAACTTCCTAAATGAAGTTTCTGCTTTCATTAGTTTTCTGAGGGGGTCTTGTTTTTTTCTTTGTTTGTTATATGGTTTGAACCCAGGGCTTGTGAATACCACATAAACGCTCTACCACTGAGTGACATGCCAGACGTCAGGCTTTAAAGACTGGATCGCGCTACAAAGGCCAGGCTGGCCCCGAGTTCAGGATCTTCCTGCCTTAGCTATCAGCCTGTCAGGGTTACAGACATGCAGCACCATGCCAAGCGCCATCTTCATGAAAAGTCTTGACCACTGTGGATGAAATCCCCAATCTTTACGTGCCGGCTAAATTTTATGTCAACTTGACACAAGCTGGAGTTCTTTGAGAGAAGGGAGCCTTGGTTAAGAAAATGCCTCCATAAGATCAGGCTGTAGGCAAGGCTGTAGAGCATTTTCTTAATGGCTGGTGCCATCCCTGGGCTGGTGGTCCTGGGTTCTATAGGAAAACAGGCTGAGCAAGCCAGTAAGCAGCACTCCTCTACGGCTTTTACATCAGCCCCTGCCTCCAGGTTCCTGCCCTGGTTTCCCTCAGTAACAGACTGTTTTACCTGGAAGTGTAAGTCAAAACAAACCTTTTCCTCCCCAAGTTGCTTGGGTCATTGAGTTCATCACAGAAATAGTAACCCGAATTAGTACACTCTATATCCAGTGAAGGGACTAGAAATGTTTCAGCCCTTGGCTCAATGACTTTTGTCTTTTTCAAGGTTTATTTTATGTGTATGTGTCTGAGTGTATATACATGTGTGTGCAGATGTCTGTGGAGGCCAGAAGAGGGCATCAGATCCCTGGAACTGGAGTTACAGGCACTTGTGAGTCCCCTGATGTGGGTGCTGGGAACTGAACCCAGGTCCTCTGTAAGAGCAGCAAGTGTTCTTAACTGCTGAGGCATGGTTCTGGCTTCCCGATAATGTCTAACATTAGCAAAACTTCTACTGTCTTTTTTTAAATATGTTACTCTGTATCCTTACTACATACTTGGCTATTTTACTTATTTTTATTTTATGTGTGTATTTGTCTGTGTGAGGGTGTCAGATCCCCTGCAAGTGGAGTTACAGTTATGAGCTGCCATGTGGGTGCTGGGAATTGAACCAGGATCAATAATGCTCTTAACCACTGAATCATCTCTCCAGTCTCTTCTATTGTCTTTTATAACCTTGGATTTTCTGGTTCTAATCTTTCATCTCCCCCCTGCCCTGTGTGTGTGTGTGTGTGTGTGTGTGTGTGTGTGTGTGTGTGTGTGTAGGTGCACAGGAGGATGTCGGGTGTCCTGCTCTGTCACTCTCCACTTTACTCCCTTGAGACAGGAGTAGGAGCTGGCAGCCAGCAAACTCCTGTCTCCACTCCCCCAGCATGCAATAACAACAACTTTCACAGGGATGCTGGAGATTTGAACTCAGATCCTCAAGCTTGTGCACCAAGCACTCTTACCCACTGAGCCATCTCCCCAGACTTTGGCTCTAATCTTTTCTTGTTCCTGGGTTCTCCTCTCTCATACCCAGTAGTTCCCTTTCCTCCTAGATTTGAAAGTGCCTATGCCTCAAGAGCTCTGTCTTTCTCCCCTATCACTTTGAAGAGATTAATTGCATCACCGTTCAAATCAATGCATGTCTCCATCATCTGTCACACTGGATGCAAAGAACCTGCTTGTGGGCTTGTCTGTCCTTATGCGACTTCAGGCTCCTCAATGACAAATGCCCTAGATTTATCTTGGTATTCCCTCTGCCTGGTACACAGCACACACTGGCTCAAATGGGCAGATTCAATCCTTCAAATGACAGTGGATGTAGACTGGGTAATTACTGTCCCTTTATATGGGTAGGGGACCCTCCCCCACCGCCACACACACACACACACACACACACACACACACACACACGCACACGCACACGCACACGCACACGCGCACACACACACGCACACACGCACACACGCACACTGCACATCTCAAAGAGGTAAATACCAGAGACATAATTCCAGGTCCTGGCTCCCAAAGCATCACGGATTTGGGGCAGAGCCATCCTGATATTGCCAATCTTGAAAGGATCCCAAGGCTTACTGTGGCGCCGTCTGAGGACCAAGGTCCGGTCCTTCCCATGCTCGTCCGAACAGGCTTGCCTGGCTAGCCCCTCTCTTAAAACACAGCCTGCAGGACTGAGCATGACACTGTGTGTGGCCTGACCTGCTGGCACATGCCGGGATTACCGCCTCCCTCTTTGTGCACTCGGCTGTACTATTAATAGAGCTGAAGATTGCGTTAGGGTTCTCCCCAGCCTCCTTGTGCTGTGGGCTCACATCAAGCCCGTGATGGGCTAACTGCTGCCCCCCACCCCGCACTCTGCTGCCCCCCACCCCGCACCCCCCGCCAGGGCCGTTCTCATGAACACCTTCTGTTAGGCCAGGTCTCCCATCAACCACTTGAGCAATTCATTTTTTTTTTCTTAATGCTTGTAATTATCTGTGACCCACACTAGTAGACACAAAACCAGGTCTTGCCTTCCTTTCTCATGTGGCATTGGCTGAGCAGGCGACGGCGATCTTGAAGGCCTGTTTAGAACCCAGAAATGGGGTGAATCTCTATGGAGAGGGCCTCCGGCATCATCCCACCCACGAAAGTAAGAGGTTCGCGACAAAATTCACTTTTTTGGGTGCATTGCAAATTGTGTCATGTTCATCACTACCTGCCTTATACGACGGTTCTGTTTTGGTAGTATTCTAATTCCAGTGTTGGTTTGCAAAGCCTCTGGCTCCTCCTGCCATGGACACAGCACATTTTTATTTGCTATGCCCTCTCCAGGCACCATTATTTTTAGCATGAACGTCCTGCCTAGCAAGCAGTTTGTGTGGAGCCTACTCCCTGCTCCCCTTACAGCTAATGCTTCTTTTTCACTCCCCTCTCCCCTCTCCATCCTTCTGTGAGTGTCAATACCGTGTTTGCCTAAGCAGATCTGATTCCGAGTTATCTGAATTCCCTTCCTCTTAGTTTTTTGGAATTTTAGCTGATTGGTAATAATCATAGAAATTGCAGTGTGGGCTATTGTGGCGAGTCTTGGCATCAACTACAGGAGAGCCCTAAACCGGTGAGATTTTGATGTCAGAATTTGGTAGCCAGAACTTGAACTCTAGGATGGGAGACTGTCAAGGGAGGGGACAGACTCCTTTCTTCCCTGCTCCACCAGAAGAGGGAACCCACTGTAAAAGGTGCTTCCTCTGTTGGCCAGACGAGGGCGCTCACAGCCACAGTCCTCCGGAGGGCGAATTTCTCATACCAAGAGGCAATTTCTCACACAAGTCTGCGTAGATGTTGTTGGATTGGTCTTCTGGAGACACAAACCAGTGATGGAGTGACACTCTTACCAGGCTACGTATGGCTGCTGGGGCCACCTTCTGTACCGTATAAACGGGAACAAGAGTTTCTAAAACTAATGTGTAGCTGTGGGTCTGTGAGCCTGTTGGCTGTCTGTGGTGGACGGGCAGGGTGTCAGTGTCCAGGGTGGCTACAGAGAACGTTGAGAGGTCCCAAGACACAACTTAGAGAGTGTGTGGGAAGGGCTTGGGGGTGGGGGAGACCCCGTGCTTCCGGCTATGATATTTAGATCTGTTTGGCAAGGCCGGCCTTGGTGGAGGTGGGGGGACGCTCCAAGGCCAGCAGAGAGAAGGTGGCCGAGGTACCATGTCAACTGTTTCCAGGTGGAGTTAAAAGGCATAGCTATTTTCTTCTGGGAACCCCGGCCCCTTTCATCAAGACTAAGTTGGTGGCTGATTAAAAAAGAAGAAATGGAAGCTTAAGTCTGAGAGGCCAAAGGAGAAAATGGCTTCCAGGTGGGAAGCCCCGGACAGAATGGTGAGGCTGTGCAGCTCCTCTGGGAAGACAGCAGCATGTGCTCGAGCCTGCCCTCTCCCCCTCCCTGGCCACACTGGGCGACAGCCAGGCCTAGGCGGCAGAGGGCTTCCGAACATGAAGACGTTTAATAAAATATTTACCTCCATGTATAAGAATAGCGATGACAGAAAGGCACGCAGCAGTTAAACAGTCTCTAACAGCCACGGGAGAGCAGCCCTGGGATGTTTTCTCTTTCTTTCTTTCTTTCTTTCTTTCTTTCTTTCTTTCTTTCTTTCTTTCTTTCTTTCTTTCTTTCTTTCTTTCT